TACCAATGCTCCACTGAACTACACTATGCTGGGCCCCTCTTCAGTATGTCATTCACAGAGGCGATGATGGTCTCAGCCTTGGCCAGAGGTAGGTCTGGCTTGGAGCTGGGAAAGCTTACAACAGCTTCTCACAGGGGTCCTCTTTAGTCTCCTTCCCCGCTATCAACACTGACATGGAGCCAGGGTAATTTCCAGCAGTTTCTTACAGAAGCCCTCACAGTAGCCAGTCCCCTGCTATCAAAACACACCAAACAAACCATAAACAAAATGGGATCAAGAAAATTCAGTGTGAGTAAATGAGAACAGAAATCAAAAGAGGTTCTAAATAACTTCACTTCTGCCTACTGTGTCCTTGAATGGGCAAGTGGTTGATTTAGAGCAACGTTTCAAGAAACTCCATGGCTTTCTCTGCTTTCCCAGAAATGCTGTGCAGGGGTATTGCTGGCTGACAGGGGTCACTGCCTTCAGGGCTGGGGGAGACTTTGCAGGATGCAGGACAAGAGCATTTGGGGTTGCACAAATGTTGTGAGGGGATGTTGTTCAGGGGCTTGTGGAAACACGTGACACTCATCCCAGGATGTCTGGACGAAGGCCCAAAGGTGGGAGGAATGGGCCCAGCTGGATGGGAGAGGAAGCAGTGCGGGAAGAGGCAGCTAATTGTAGGCTCATAGGAAAATTCAGACTGGAAAGGACACCAGGAGGTCCCTGGTGCTACTGTCTGCATCTGCTCAAAGCAGCATCGCTGAGGAGGTCAGACCATGTGTCTCGAGGATTTCCCAAGCCTGATCTTGAAAACCTCCAAGGAGCACAGCCTCCCTGGGCAACCTGCTCCACTCTGGACGACTCTCCATGGGGAGAAAAGTTTCCCTTTATATGCAGTCTGAACTTGTCTTGTTTCAACGTATGCCTGCTGTCCGTCATGTTGAGAGCCTGGCGCTCTCTTCCCAGCCTGCAAGGTCATAGGTGGGAGAAGGCTGCTGTATTTTCCAGGTTCTGCTCCTTTCTCTCTGGCTGTGGGCAGCTTCTTCCCATGAGGTCTGTCTGTCTGCACCCTGCTTGGCCGTCCACAGGCTCTGCACGAGCTGCAGGCCCAGCATACCTTGCTGATGATACTCTCGTTCCTCTTCTCCTGTTCTGTCACTCTCTGAGAAAGACCCATTTTCCTCCCTCCTTTAGAGGCCTCCTAAACTTGCAAACTGTCTGGAGAAGAGCCGATGTTAGTTCTGTCTAAGGGGACTGAACACCTTCGCTACCACCTCTTCCTTCATAGCAGCAGGTCTCACGGAGAGACTGCTAAATGACACTTGTCAGAGCTGTTTCCTTTCTTACTGGGATTGGAACGGACCAGGCCCTCCTGGTGCAAAACACAGAATCATGTGGGCTGCTTTTCCAGCCAAATTCCTCCACACATTAGGCCTCTGAAAGAATGATGCTCGCCTTGAATAGCAGCCTGCTCGTGGATTGCTACTGAAATCCAGGATGCCCGGGGCTGTGGAGCTTGCTTTCCATGACAGGGAGCAAGCCAAGGCAAGGGGCTGAACAAAAGGGCCTCATTGGCCTGGAGTGGTTTTTGGGAGCCAGCAATGGGATTTGGTGTGGGGGAGTTGGGGCTGTTGTTGTACGGAGAAGTGGCATAAAGGCTCTCAGACCGGTGTGGTTGGAGGATGACGGGGGCTGCTGGGTGCGGAGACACCAGCAGGAGGACCCAGCAGGGATAGGGCTGTCAGCTGGACAGTGGTCACAGCACCTGGGTTAGCAGGTCTTCAGGACGCGCAGCCTGGCTGCTGCTCGAAGGTGGTGGGAAAGCCCCAGAGATGACAGAGTGGTTGAGGTTGTGTCCTGGTTTTGCCTGAGACAGATGTATCTTTCTTCGTAGGAGCTAGTGTGAGGCTATGTTTTGGATTTGTGCTGAGAAGAAGGCTCATAACTTGCTGATGTTTATGGTTGCTGCCAGGACAGTCAAGGACTTTTCAGCATTGGAAGCTTTTCCTAGAGCCCCCCATGTTGCTAGCCCTCACTTCTCCCAGCCCCAGTGTAGCTCCTTCTCACTGTCCCCTGTCCCCTGGGAACTCTTTTGCAAAGCTACTTCCCAGTGAGGCAGTGCCCATTGCCTTGCACAAAAAGTAAGTTGATATTGTTGAAGTGTTTGAGGAGTTATTGCAGGGCTTGGCAATCTTCTAACAATGTTTTTTTCATATTGGACCACAATATCCTTCAGATCTTCATATTTTTAATAGGTTCTGTATAAGGTATTATAGCATCTTTACATTATAATGATAGGACAACTGAGATCAGAATAGATCTTTCACAGTCATCTAGTTTAGCTTTTGGTTAGAGCAAGACTTAGTTCCTTGTCTTAGTATGTATGTTTCTCAGGGCCTCAGTCATCTGAGTTTTGACTGTCTCTAGTGATTGACTGTCCTTAGTCTTTTTTCTCTCTCTTTTTTTTTTTTTTTAAAGTTTACTTTATCGATACTGGGCTCCATCAGAAGAATCATGACCAGCAGGTTGAGGGAGGTGATTCTCCCCCTTTAATCTGCCCTAGTGAGACCCCACCTGCAGTACTGTGTCCAGCTCTGCAGTGCTAAGCACAGGAAAGACATGGACCTGTTGGAGTGGGTTCTGAGGAGGGACACAAAAATGATCAAAGGGACGGACTACCTCCCATATGAGGACAGGCTGAGAGACGTAGGGTTGTTCCGCCTGGAGAAGAAAAGGATCCAGGGAGACCTTATTGCTGCTTTTCAATACTTAAAGGGGTCTTATAAGAAAGGTAAGGACAGACTTTTTAGTAGAACCTGTAGCCATAAGATAAGGCGTAACGGTTTTAAACTAAAAGAGGGTGGATTCAGACTAGATATAAGGAAGAAATCTCTTACTGTGAGGGTGGTGTGGCACTGGAACAGGTTGCCCAGAGAGGTGATAGATACTCCATCCCTGGAAACATTCAAGGTCAGGTTGGATGGTACTTTGAGCAACCTGATGTAGTTGAAGACGTCCCTGCTCATTGCAGGGGTTTTGGACCAGATGAACTTTAAAGGACCCTTCCAACCCAAACTATTCTGTGATTCTATGATTTCTCTACCATTCTATGTAATTGCTACAAGTAAGAATGGCTATAAATCCATATTGGTGAATGATGTTAATTATCTAATTATTTGTATGTGGTTATCTCTTAAATAATGGCAAGGATTTCAAATTGCATTTTCTCAGGACATTAATTGCATTATCTCAAGGCTAACAGTAATTTAAACAGAGACTCTACAGACTTGATCAAAATATCAGAAGTGTGAGAATCAACGGTATAGACAATTTGGAAGGAATGCAAATACAGACTGAAAAAGCAATTAAGTTGTTTCAGAGCTTGGGAATTTTCTCACATCATTTGTTAAATTGTTAGAGCCTGAGTATTTTAAAGAGAAACAAAAATGAAAAAAAAAACCAAACCAACTAACCAGATAAACAAACCCAAACATAACAATGCCTACAAATTCAATGAGAATCTGTGCTGATTTATGAGTAACTCTTCAATATTAGATCATATTGAAATGGGACATTCTCTCTTTATAGCACAAATTCTCCAGAAAGTTGTCATCATTGTGTTTTGTGTATGGACTAAGAAGGTGGTGGAACTTTTAACAGTATAACAAACTCTAATGCTGTTGTAACTAATATTAAATCCCCAAACATATTTTTGCTTCACCTTTTCAATTTCTTAAGAAAACTTTAAGCTTCTTTTTGACTGCACCCAAGTGTCTATGCCATAGGTATTTCCTCCATTTATAAATCATATTGTATGGTTACTGGGATTAAATACAGGAAGTAACATATTTAAGATCCATGTAGTTGTTTC